CTTGCCGTCGTGGTTCCCCTACTCATTTGGGTAAGTACTAAGTATGACACCTGCTGGCCTCCTTGACTCCGAAGTGGTCGTGTGTTGCTCATATTAGACGGCTAAGTGTAATGTAAACTTGTGTGGCTAACTCTGGGCGATCAAGCTTCGCTGCTCTTACTGCGTTTATTCTATACTGTGTGCTCAAACCTCACTAGCACTGGCAGCGGCCTATGCCCATGTTTAGGGCATGATCTGACAGTCTTCCGTGCGTACCCAATCCCTAATATTCAGCATATTGCATCTGCTTTAATAGCAAAGTGACTACCTGTGCAAATTAACATCGTTTACCGGCGAGCAAGTCTTTCTTTGCCGGCGAGACTTTGTTTGACGGCGGTCAGTTATTATTTGACGGCGGAGTTGAACGCGTTTACCGGCATTACTTATGTTTTTGACGGCGGGATTTGAATTTGTATGCCGCGCTAATTTTTGTGCAAACGGGCCGCCATAGTTTTATGTGGTAGGGGCTTTGCACAGACTAGTCGCACTTTCTTTACGAGCCAGGTCAATGACCGGCTAAAGCGCGGGCTTAGCGCATCTTCGACACGGAGAGAGCTTGAAAAGAGCGTGGAGGCCAGCCGGCGCAGTGCGATTAGTACAACAAGCGCACTAGCGCACTTTTAGTCTGGATTCTAATGGCTGAAAAGAATGCATCTAGTCAAGAACACATACTTACGCCCGCCAGCACCAGCTTGTGTACATTGTCCTTATCCTCTCGAGAGCTGTGCTGAGATTCCACGGAAACACGACGTTGAGCAGCAACGGGGCGACGACAGAGGGTCCCTCGAACGGTGAAATGAGATGTGCGTGTGGGAAGTTTCTGTCGCCCTCGAATCGCTAGAAGGCTGCATCAGCGCTTCTACTCCACGCGGTGAAATTCGGGAGCTGTCAAGCGAAAATCGAACGAGAGGATGGAGGAAAATTGGGTGCCTCGCCTGGACGGCCTTGACGGGGCGTGAGTCGCTCTCAGCGGTTGGAAAGGCCGAGATATCAAGAAGGAGTACGGGAAAAACCAGGCGGCGATGTTTGCCCTTGGGCTGCGGCATCGAAGCAATGTGCTCGGCATCGAGGGGATGACGTCGCGAAGATCCCGCGCGTCTACTAAATTGACGGATGAGCGCCCGCAAATTGCCTTTGCGTACCGGGTGCGTTTCGGACTGGTTATGGTCTGAAATTGTTTCAGGGACAGCGCACACACCGCTCACTTCACGATGCGAAAACTCACATCTTCCTGCCTCTTACCATCATCCGACGTCGCCAACAACGGCCAGCGGCCTCCCGACGCTCGCTGATATTTTTCTCCACCATGTTGAAGACTCACAGGAGCATGGCGGTCAAGCTCGTCGCGCTTGGCGCATTCGTTACCTTCCTTCTCACTCTTTATACCACACACCCGTCATCGGCACGCCTACGGGCCTCAGTCTCGGACCTGTTCTCAATACGGCAGCGGAGCCAGTGCACACCCGAGCAGTGGGCCAGCGGACAGTGGACCAGGCGCGACCCTCCACGGACGACGAAGCAGAACGCCTCAAGCGTCGCCGACGTTCTGGAGTTCGAGGGCTTCGACGGCTGCGCAAGCGACCGCGAGTACAACTGGCACCTTTCCGCAGACGAGAACCAGCGGGACAGGTTCCCAGAGGTGGCCGCTTACCAATGGACACCGCCGCCGGCCTGCAACGCGCGACAATTCAATCGTGAGGCCTTCGTCCAGGATCTGGTCGAGAAGGGTGGCTGGCTCTTGCTCGGAGGTGAGTACGCTATCCTGCATTCCCTGCCCCTTGTTGCGCGCCCACGGCCGTACCCCCGTTGTGAGCCGCCCTGAGAAGCGACCTTTTTATTGGCAATCTGCGGATAGATCTCGCTACCTCTGCTTCTCAGAATGCTGGGAAAGGACGGTTGCAATGCCGTTTTCCCCGTCCGTTCCTGTCTTGGGTCACCCAAGTGGCGTCGGCAATCTTCCAGGGCTGGTCAGTTGGCTGTGCTCTCACCTTCTGCGGATGGTCCGCGCAGCCGGTCGGGTGGAAACTGCACAGCAGCGAGTCGCTTGAGGGACGACCCTCGTTGCTGACCGCTCGTTCGTGGGTGCTGTGCAGCAGCTTCGTCTGACGAGTGACCCAATGCGCAGATGTGTATTACGCACTTTCGCGTGCTTCAGGCACCATTTACTTGTGATAAGCTCGGGGTTTTTCTATCACAACAGATCACTATCGCAATCAGGTTGAACGCAGACGGGGCGCTATCAACTCAACATTGTCGCATAATAACAGCATACTTACTGACGACTTGGTGCATTCAGACTCTGTGACAGAGAACCACTTCTTTTCATTATCATGCATGCTCTACCCACATGTCCGCGCGACGCCGAACTACACACTCAACCCGTACTTCGATCGCGCTTGGCCACAGAACCTCTACCTCAATCCTGAGTCACCTCTCGTTCAGAAGCTCCATCCGCCAGAAGGCTTCAACATCTCCATCACGCCGCTAGTGACGTTCCGTCGCGTGGACCTTCTGCTCGCATCAGACCAGCTGACCGAGCTCTACCGCACAACGCAGCCGTACCACGCATCGCAAGAGAACTTTGATCTCCTCGGCGGCGACCAGGTTTGGGAGATCCCACCGTCCGAATACCTCTCGCTCTTCACCGCTCCGCTTCCAGAGGCGAACTACGGCACCTTGATCGCCAGCACGGCGGGACACTGGACGACAGGCACGTTCCGCGGGCTGCGGGACGAGACGAAGCCGTTCGAGGGCATCGAGAACGTGCTCTCGTTCTTCAGCGACGCGATGCCCGTGTGGGCGCGCCTGGTCCAGCAGTGGCTCACGAGCGCAGAACACTCAGCCGAGAAGAACGCGGGCGGCGGCGCAACCACCAAGGGCGGACGGAGGCGGCAGGTCATGGTCCGCGCGTACCTGCCCGGACACGACGGCTGCCACTACATCTTCAAACCGTGGGAGCTATACGAGCAGGAGAACAACACGCTGTCGTACAACTGGGGCCAGATCAAGCTGTTCAACGAGCTGTTCCAGGTGCGTGCCCCCTTGCCGCCCGCAATCACCTGTATATATTCTAACAATCTCTTCAGTCTCTCCTGGCAAACAAGGACTTCCGCGACGTCCACTTCCTCCCGATAGACCGGCCGGCGCTGCTCCGGCCAGACTCAGTAAGTGAACTTACGTCCTTTGACGCGCCGCTAGAGAGCTCATTACGACGCCGAACAGCACGCAGGTGGTGACTGCCTCCACATCATGACCGGCGCAGGCGTCCTGGAGGGCTGGACAGAATACATCTGGCACTACGTCACGCGCGAGGTCGGCGCGTGGGTGCGGTGAGAGCGGCCGCGCCCTTTCCTCAGGCGCTTTGGTAGAGGCCTAGGCCAGGCCGGGCCAGGCCCTGCGCGTGGCCTGCGCTGTCTGCTCCGCGCTTTCCGACCGTCGCTCCCTCCTCGCACGCAGTGCGCAAGAGGAAGGTTTCGTTGTTATGGACCCGTAAAAACAGACAGCAATTCCTATGTAGAATCGCACGATCGTTTCTCTGCGTGTGTGGACGCTGAGCGCTGAGCCGCCGTCGGCTGTGCCCTTCCTCCCTCCCTCTCTTGTCATTCGTGCTGATACCACCGGCTTTACCTGTGGCATAGCGTATTGTGGCATAATAGATGATAGCACCCCCACTTACACTTGCACTCGCACTAGCTACATATCTTATTAGAGAAATTATTTACCGTTGCCCCCGGCATCGTATTGTGTGGATCATATTGTGTAGAAAATGTTCGGTGTCTTGCATGCGAGGGTGCCACGCTCAAGGTTACCGGAGATTTATGCAGTAAGCAAATGCTAATCACCAAGATAAGCGGCCATATCGTGGCAATAAGTAGAATTGTTCCCACAGTCACTACGCATTTGTTGATCTCTCGACTCACCTCGCTCCCGCCGTTCGAAAAGCACGTCCACAAGACGCTGGAGGAGCGGGCGATGGGTATGCCCAACGAGCTGCCCTGGCCGCGGCACAGGCAGGCGTGCGCTTGCGGGGGATGTATAAACAGTGAGCGCCTCGAGCTTCGGCATGAACGCGGCGGCGTCGGCCTCGAGGGCGTCGAGGAACCCGTGGAAGGCCTCGTACCAGATCTCGAGCTTTGCGGCCGGGTGCGCCACCAGATGCGGCCACACCTCGCGCGTCGTGCCGACGTTCTCGAACACCAGTTCCGTCGCGCCGCACAGCGAGGGGCACACTGCGAACATGTGCGCGACGAGGTCCTCGACCGCAGGTCGTAGGTTTTCGCGCTCTGGAATGGAGACGCACGCACCGAGGAGCTTGCAGCTGGAGCTGGACGCGCGGTCGAGCACGTCCATGTGCAGTTCGCCGGCGACCCACCAGATGCGGGTCTCGATGTGACGCGGGGGCTGCTATGGTCCTGCAGCGGCCTACAGCGCATTCGTGGCCCACAGTGCGAGGGTAGAGAAGAGAAATTTATGGTGAGGCAGGGTGCTGCCGTTTGAGACGTGGTCTTCGGTAACCTCACTTGTTATCGTCGTCTTCGTCTGCCATGGCGCTTCGATGTGATGCACGAGGTACGCGCACGCGTCCAACTCTTCCAC